GCTTATTACAACAATCTGTAACCCACTGTGGCGCATGGCCAGAAAGGGTTAAACATCCTGCAAAATAAATGACTGAAATTCAACCCTTAAAGTCTTGTGGGGAGATAATGTTTGTGTTTTTGTGTATTTACATATATATGGGTAGTGGTCAACAATGTAATCAACAGTCCCTGTCTATGCTGTATTCTGATAATTCAGAGATCAAAAGAACATCCTAGCATTTCAATGAATTGTAAGCATGGGGTATCACTGTATTCATCTCTTTGAAATGCAAAGCAAATCATCTGTGAATGGTGGAAAAACAGGCAGTTGCCTTATGTTAATTCATGTAGCTAAGTACTGATGATAGACTGCTTGCCAGTCTACTGGAGTACTGTCATGGATGGATATAAACTGGCAAGCAGTCTATCATTCACAATGTGACGGAGAGACTGCCGAGACCCATCAAGCCCTCGGATCGCTACCCCTTCCTGCTTCTTCATGTGGGCACTAATAATTCTGCCAAGAATGACCTTGAGCGGATCACTGCAGACTACATGGCTCTGGGAAGATGGATAAAGGAGTTTGAGGTGCAAGTGGTGCCCTCATCCATCCTCCCCGTGGAAGGAAAAGGCCCGGGTAGAGACCGTCGAATCGTGGAAGTCAACGAATGGCTACGCAGGTGGTGTCAGAGAGAAGGCTTTGGATTCTTTGACCATGGGATGGTGTTCCAAGAAGAAGGAGTGCTAGGCAGAGATGGGCTCCACCTAATGAAGAGAGGGAGGAGCATCTTCGCAAGCAGGCTGGCTAACCTAGTGAGGAGGGCTTTAAACTAGGTTCACCAGGGGAAGGAGACCAAAACCCTGAGGTAAGTGGGAAAGTGGGATACCAGGAGGAAGCACGAGCAGGAGAGCACAAGGACTCCTGTCTCATACTGAGAAAGAGAGACGATTGATGAGTTATCTTAAGTGCCTATACACAAATGCAAGAAGCCTGGGAAACAAGCAGAGAGAACTGGAAGTCCTGGCACAGTCAAGGAATTATGATGTGATTGGAATAACAGAGACTTGGTGGGATAATTCACATGACTGGAGTACTGTCATGGATGGATATAAACTGTTCAGGAAGGACAGGCAGGGCAGAAAAGGTGGGGAAGTTGCATTGTATGTAAGAGAGCAGTATGACTGCTCAGAGCTCCTGTATGAAACTGTAGAAAAACCTGAAAGTCTCTGGATTAAGTTTAGAAGTGTGAGCAACAAGGGTGGTGTCATGATGGGAATCTGCTATAGACCACCAGACCAGGGGAATGAGGTAGATGAGGTTTTCTTCAGGCAACTAACAGAAGTTACTAGATCACAGGCCCTGGTTCTCATGGGGGACTTCAATCACCCTGATATCTGCTGGGAGAGCAATACAGCAGTGCACAGACAATCCAGGAAGTTTTTGGAAAGTGTAGGGAACAATTTCCTGGTGCAAGTGCTGGAGGAACCAACTAGGGGCAGAGTTCTTCTCGACATGTTGCTCACAAACAGGGAAGAATTAGTAGGGGAAGCAAAAGTGGATGGGAACCTGGGAGGCAGTGACCATGAGATAGGAAGAAAGGGGAGCAGCAGAATACGGACCCTGGATTTCAGAAAAGCAGACTTTGACTCCCTCAGGGAACTAATGGGCAGAATCCCCTAGGAGAATAACATGAGGGGGAAAGGAGTCCAGGAGAGCTGGCTGTATTTTAAAGAATCCTTATTGAGGTTGCAGGAAAAAAACAACCTGATGTGTAGAAAGAATAGTAAATATGGCAGGTGACCAGCTTGGCTTAACAGTGAAATCCTTGCTGATCTTAAACACAAAAAAGAAGCTTACAAGAAGTGGAAGCTTGGACAAATGACCAGGGAGGAGTATAAAAATATTACTCAGGCATGCAGGAGTGAAATCAGGAAGGCCAAATCACACTTGGAGTTGCAGCTAGCAAGGGATGTTAAGAATAACAAGAAGGGTTTCTACAGGTAGGTTAGCAACAAGAAGAAGGTCAGGGAAAGTGTGGGCCCATTACTGAATGGGGGAGGCAACCTAGTGACAGAGGATGTGGAAAAAGCTAATGTACTCAATGCTTTTTTCACCTCTGTCTTCACGAACAAGGTCAGCTCCCAGACTACTGCACTGGGCAGCACAGTATGGGGAGGAGGGGACTAACCCTCTATGGAGAAAGAAGTGGGCTAGCACAAGTCCATGGGGCCGGATGCGCTGCATCCGAGGGTACTAAAGGAGTTGGCGGATGTGATTGCAGAGCCATTGGCCATTATCTTTGAAAACTCATGGCGATCAGGCGAGGTCCCGGATGACTGGAAAAAGGCAAATGTAATGCCCATTTAAAAAAGGGAAGAAGGAGGATCCGGGGAAGTACAGGCCAGTCAGCCTCACCTCAGTCCCTGGAAAAATCATGGAGCAGGTCCTCAAGGAAACAATTTTGAAGCACTTCGAGGAGAGGAAAGCGATCAGGAACAGTCAGCATGGATTCATCACGAGCAAGTCACGCCTGACTAACCTAACCTTCTACGATGAGATAACTGGCTCTGTTGATGAGGGGAAAACAGTGGACGTGTTATTCCTTGACTTTAGCAAAGCTTTTGATATGGTCTCCCACAGTATTCTTGCTAGCAAGTTAAAGAAGTATGGGCTGGATGGACTATAAGGTGGATAGAAAGCTGTCTAGATCGTTGGGCTCAATGGGTAGTGATCAATGGCTTCATGTCTAGTTGGCAGCCGGTATCAAGCGGAGTGCCCCAAGGGTCAGTCCTGGGGCTGGTTTTGTTCAATATCTTCATTAATGATCTGGAAGATGGCGTGGATTGCACCCTCAGCAAGTTTGCAGATGACACTAAACTGGGAGGAGTGGTAGATACGCTGGAGGGTAGGGATAGGACACAGAGGGACCTAGACAAATTAGAGGATTGGACCAAAAGAAATCTGATGAGGTTCAATAAGGACAAGTGCAGAGTCCTGCACTTAGGAAGGAAGAATCCCATGCACTGCTACAGACTAGTGACCAAGTGGCTAGTCAGCAGTTCTGCAGAAAAGGACCTAGGGGTTACACTGGGCGAGAAGCTGGATATGAGTCAACAGTGTGCCCTCGTTACCAAGAAGGCTAACGGCATTTTGGGCTGTATAAATAGGAGCACTTCTAGCAGATTGAGGGACATGATCATTCCCCTCTATTCAGCATTGGTGAGGCCTCATCTGTGTCCAGTTTTGGGCCCCACACTACAAGAAAGATGTGGAAAAATTGGAAAGAGTCCAGCGGATGGCAACAAAAATGATTAGGGGGCTGTAGCACATGACTTATGAGGAGAGGCTGAGGGAACTGGGATTATTTAGTCTCCAGAAGAGAAGAATGAGGGGGGATTTGATAGCTGCTTTCAACTACCTGAAAGGGGATTCCAAAGAAGATGGATCTAGACTGTTCTCAGTGGTACCAGATGATAGAACAAGGAGTAATAGTCTCAAATTGCAGTGGGGGAGGTTTAGGTTGGATATTAGGAAACTTTTTCACTAGGAGGGTAGTGAAGCACTGGAATGGGTTACCTAGGGAGGTGGTGGTATCTCCTTCCTTAGAGGTTTTTAAGGTCAGGCTTGACAAAGCCCTGGCTGGGATGATTTAGTTGGGGAATAGGTCCTACTTTGAGAGCAGAGGGTTGGACTAGATGACCTCCTGAGGTCCCTTCCAACCCTGATATTCTTTGATTCTAATGGATAAATTGCCTTATGTTAATCTGTGTGAATAAATAATGACGATGCTTAGGAAATGAGGGCCTATTGTTCCCCAAGGGTCTCCAACTTGTCAAAGAAGGCCTGAAATTGTAAAAAGATCCTAGGGTCCCAGCCCTTTGTACCTCAGATCTGCTCAAGCTTCATCAGGGGAAATTTGAATCGCCAGATTGAGATCCCACTTATGCTGGTACTCCCTGAATATGATATTGAACATTGGACTATAACCTATGGACTAAATTGTAAAAGAACTCTTTGCAATTACAAAGTTCACCATCTCTGTTATGTATCTAAACCTTAAGAATTGAACTCATGTTTGTATGTATATTGATCTTTTAACCATACTCTCTCTCTTTTCTTTTTTAATAAATTTTAGTTTAGTTAATAAGAATTGGCTGTAGCGTGTATTTGGGTAAGATCTGGAATATTCATTAATCTGGGAGGTAATATCTCCTATCTTTTGGGATTAGTAGAACCTTTTCTTTTATATGATGAAATAAGATTTTCAGAAATCTTCATAATATTTGACTTGGGTACCTGGATGGAGACCTGAGGCTGAGTTACTTTAAGGGAACTGTGTTGTTGGTTTCTGGGTAACCAGTAAGGTATAACAGAAGCTGTTTAGTTCTGGCTTGGTAAATCTAAGTATTGACACATCCACCAGCTTTGGGATTTGTCTGCCCCATTCTTTGCAGTTCACCCTAATTGAGTGACCTCAGCTGACCCCCACTGGGACCCCGGTCACACCCACTGAGACCACTATTTGTCCTATGACTACAGGTGTGTTAAAAGGCCACTTCACCTTTACCCTCAGAATATGGCTAACTACTTATGCTAAACCATCTAATCAATCTTATATTTAGCTGTGACACTCTGAGTACCTTTTCCAGACGTGAAGAAGGGCTTTGTGTAGCTCAAAGGCTTGTCTCTCTCACCAACAGAAGTTGGTCCAATAAAAGATATTACCTCACACATCTTCTCTCTCTAATTATTCACTGAGAGGCAGAAAGGAACTGGACAACCAGGATAGAGAGTGCCTGTAAAGAGCAAGGGATTGGCACCAACTCTCGATTGATCCATTTCTACCTGACATCAAAGAAAAGGACGCACCCGTTGTCCACACTAGTGCCACAGCCACAGAACTTCGGCTGCTTTTCTGGAACCTGAAACTCTGCAGTTTATGCCACTCAAAGTATTAAGAAAAAAAAAGAGACTACACATATTCAGATGTTGACATTTGATTGCTGAAAAACAATTACCAGCTGCAACATTGATCTGGTTATTAATTCGTTCTCTGTCTGTTTTCAGCATATTTAAACTGGCTTCCTTTCGCTTGAGTTCCAAATGGAGGCCATCAGCTTGGGACTGTAATTCCTGTAAAAAAATAAATATTTTTGTGGTGAAAGTTTATTTAATTATTACTAAATATTTCCACAAGTGTCAAATGCTCATTTATTCTGGTCGGCTGCATCTCAATTCAAACCAATAAAATTTTAAAAAGAAACTAAACACAGATAGATGCATTCAGATACAAATTGCATATTTACAGTGTCAGCATTCCACACCACCTGCTTCAAATGTCTATTATACTCACACTGAATGCAGTTAAGTTCAGACATGTTAAAATTCTGAATTATGAATGTAAAATGGTGGTCTCATTTGCTATAGTACTTGCAATAATATTGTTTCAAATTTAAGCAGTTTTAACCATTTAAATGAATAATAAGCCTTAACATTAAACATAGATGTCCATTTACCAGTTTCATCAGTTTTTTTTTTAAAAACACCATTTTTAAACATAACATTTTAAGAGATCAGTTTAAAAAATACTGGAGAAACAGCCAATTGCTTACAATGTAAACAACCAAACAGTATGTGTTTTTCCTTCCATTTTAAAAACTCTGTCATTCACCATGGCTTAAAATTAAAATTTCTTTAAAAAGAAAATAATCTTTTTCCATGCACTATATCAAGCATGAGCAAGGCAATGAAGGCTTCTCAGAGTGGACGATTTAGACTGTAACTCTCCTGCTAAGGGACGGATTAAAATGAGAGACCATAAGGGACGTGGTCTTTATCAGAGCCAGAGTTGTGAGGGCCTGATTCAGGAAGGGAGAAGTCCAGTGCCTTTGTGATGAGGCATCAGCACATCAAGGCTCTGGATGGCACTGTTGCCTTAGCTCCTTAATGATGTGCCAACACCTTGGCACAGAAACATGGAATTCAGCCACTCTAGGCCAACACCACTGCACACGATCCTCTTTCTAACAGAACACCCCACTTGCTGGCAAACCCCCCTTCTCATTGAAGGCCCACTCACTCTGTCTTCCTTCCCTCAACGTCTACCTCCAAGCCTTTGACTGTGTAAATGGCTCCCTACTGACCAGGAACATGCTGGTGTCGGGCTGGCAGCACCAGAAAAAGGAAGCAACTCTCAGATCTGACCAGTCCCTTTGGCTAATCTTGGCATAGTTCAATGCTTTTATTCTGAATAAGTGGAATAACAGTTTGTGTTTAATTTTAAAAATGCCTGGGTCTGGGATGTTATCAAAACACATGTGGGTGTGAAGTTTGGAATATATGGGAATTATTGAACTAGTTGAACAGTTAGAGGGACCCTAAGAAATGCAAGAAAAACAAAGCAAAATTTAAAAGAGGAAACATTTTAAAATTTTACTCTGCCAAAATTATCAAATATTTAACTAAAATTATTACGTGGAAAATGTGACAGTCCTCTGAAGTTACCATGTCACATTCGAAGGATTTTTGTCTGGCTTTGATTTGCTTTGAGAGGTCTCAGTGCAGCTTTATGAAGTAATTACTGATGCCTTCATTATATATCTTTATAATTGCACGACAAACCTGCATCCTCAATACACAAAAAGGCACTTTTCCTCAGCAGGTCCAGCACATATTAGAATTATGATGAGAAAAGAAAAACAGTTAGGAACATTTTCAAATAGTCTACGGCGGAGAAATTTTTCACACACACCTTAACTCAGACGTGGGCAAACTATGGCCCGCGGGCCACATCCGGCCCGCAGGACCGTCCTGCCCGGCCCCTGAGCTCCTGGCCGGGAAGCTTAGTCCCTGGCCCCTCCCCCACAGCCACGCCCCGCTCCGCTGGGCAGCATGGGGAGCGCAGCTGGCTCTGGCCGGGTGTCACGGCTGCGAGCTCCTGCTGCTGGTAAGGGGGCGGGGAGTGGGGGGGTTGGGTAAGGGAGCGGGGGTCCTGGGGGACAGTCAGGGAGGAGGGGGAGGTTGGATGGGGCGGAGGTTTGGGGGGGGTGGTCAGGGGATGGGGAACAGGGAGGGTTGGGAGTGGGAGTCCCGGGGGGGCTGTCAGGAGGCAGGGATGTGGATAGGGGTCAGGAGGGCAGTCAGGGGACAGGGAGCTGGGGGGGTTGGATAAGGGGGTGGGATCCTGGGGGGCAATTAGAGGTGGGAGGGTCCCGGGAAGGGGTGGTCAGGGGACGAGGAGCAGAGGACGGTTGGATAGGGAGTGGGAGTCCCAGGGGGGCTGTCAGGGGGCGGGGCAGTCAGGGGACAGGGAGCAGGGGGGGTTGGATGGGTTGGGAGTTCTGAGGGGGCAGTCAGGGGGCGGGAAGTGGGAGGGGGCGGATAGGGGGCAGGGGCCAGGCTGTTTGGGGAGGCACAGCCTTCCCTACCCAGCCCTTCATACCGTTGTGCAACCCCGATGTGGCCCTCGATCCAAAAAGTTTGCCCACCCCTGCCTTAACTCCTTTTCTGATTCCCCCCCCCCAAAAAATTTCCCAGAAAATGTCTACTGTAAGATGAAATATGACATGAGAATTTAGGGAGATTGTTTTCTTTTTTGATTATGGCTATGACATGGGCTTCAAGTTTTGGTACGCCCTAAAGCAAAAAAAGTGGAAAGACTCTCGATGGCAAACATATGCAGAAGGCCCCTAAAGAAACTGACATATCTTATATCATGTATACATATTTTATTATTTATTACCAACATGCTTGGTGATGCACAACGTACAAAAACAGAGACACTCCCAGCCCCAAAGACCTTGCAGCTGATGTACAACAAGGCACATAGTATAGCTAAAATCAACTTCAAATATACTATTGATGAACCTTTATGGTCCACAGTTCTGGAAAAATCTTGAAAAGGATGTAAATTTGTAAGTCATTAGAAAACTTCACCTCTTTTAAAATGTGGTTTTAGGCTAGCGTTTAAAAAAAAAAAGAGCCTAAAATCAGGCTCCTAAATAGGTGGTCAGGCTTTCAAAAGTGCTTAGCATCCATTCCAGCTCCCATTGCAGACCCATGGAGGTCCCACTTCAATATATTTCTGAACTGAGCTCTGTAGCTTATGTCTACTAGTGATTTTACTTTCCAATTCATAAGCAAAGAACACAATATCCTTATTCAGTCAAATGGCTGCATTTTTTCCCTTTTGCTTATACACAGAATTGTCTCATAAAAATTCCTTCATTTGATTTATAACAACCTATATCTGATGTGCTGTTCCTTTATTAGTTTGTTATTAACTAAAGTTAACTCCTCCACAAATTCACTAAGAGCATGATAACAAACCAGCATGTCATACAAAATTACTTAAACATGATGTAAACCACCAACACACAATAAATCAAATGTCAACTCCTTTAACCCACTTGATCATTTCCTTTTTCTGTCATGGTGGACTATCAATAAAATATTTATGCATGAACATGACAGACTTAGCAAAGTTGTGAAGCCCTAGGAGACAAAATACCTCATTTTGCTGACATAAGCTAAGTGAACAAAAATGCTTTTTCCATATTTATTTACATAGAAATATATTGAAGCTTTTGAAAAATGATCTGTTTTCCTCACTAAATACATTCCCTCACCTAGATTAGTACATGGATTTAGGTGGGCTGTATGGCTCCTTTCTGCATCAAGACTTTTTTTATTCCGCTATAGCTATGCCAATATAGCTCCCTGTGTGGACACTGAATTCTGGAATATTAATCTATTGTGGAGTAACTATTCTAGAATAAAGTCACTTTTTCTCCTAAACAGAGTAGCCCATAAAAAGTTATATTTACAATAACTATAGCAGAATAATTATTCCATTATAGCTATGCCGGTCAACTTCCCCATATAGACAAACCCTTGGTTACTAACTTTAGCTTTGTTCTCCTTGTAAGATCAGGGCCGTATATAGGTAGATATGGCCAGTTTAGGCAACAAACTTTTTAAAAGGACACAGTCAACTTAAAAAATAAAAAAACACTGAAATTCTTTATTGTTGTTACAAGTAATACTTAAATTTACTATAATTAAAAGATTTGAGAAAGTATTTATTGTATTTTTTCCTGTTTATACATTTGACAGCATTTTTGTAGTCAGCCCTCAAACCTTTATACACATGCTTAATTTTAAGCTCATGAGCAGTCCAACTGGGTATGTGACATGTCGTTGTAGAATGAGTCTTAATCATTCAGTTTCCCATTTTGTTGAGTCTTTCATTCAACAACACGAGTAAGGATTTTTTTTTAATTATTGTAAAATCATAACACTAGGCAGGAGGACTTAGAACAGGTGCAGTAGCTGAAACTATTTTAACTCATTCTTTGATACTATGTTTCAAGTTGACACAATATTTCACTTTATTTACAAAAAAACCCCAAAAGACAAAAAAACCCAAAGTGCAAAAAAGCTACAGTACTTGATAGAAACAGAATAGACCACAGAGTTATTCACATGAAAATAAAGTTGTATAACTGGAAAAATTTACCACTAGCTTTTGAAGCAAGTGTTCAGTTTCAGAGGTAATGCGGGGTTGAAGATCAGTGGCTTTTTTAGTCTGTTCACGCGTAATAATGGAAAGTTAAGGTCAAAAAGTGATTTTAAATTAATTACATAAAGTGCAGAAAAAGTTTTTATTTAATCAAAATCATAACACTAAACAGTTAAAATGTTTTACTCAGCTTGAGTGCTCTTAATGTATTTCCAAGATAAGTTTTTCTTGGGTACGGTATATTTATCTAATTTTTTAGCAAGCTATATTGAAGGATATAGAAAATTGGCTTCCAGTTCAAGAAAGTAGATTTGTTGCTGGAGGTTCTTGATGTATTCAGATTCTATACTTGAAGTTGTATTCTCCATTGCTAGAAAAGATTAATTCAAAACTATATGTACATTGTAATTATCAAGCAACAAAATATTATTGTACTCATAATATATTCTCCCTATGCTAAAATGTCTCTATTAAGCCTATATCTTCTACTCATCCTAGTATATTTTCACACTTACTGATGATAGTGGTGTGCAGTACACTGTAATGCACACTTTCCTAAAGGAGATTCAGTTACTACTGCTATGTAGTAATATCAATGCTAAGAACAAGATGACTTCCAATTCAAATACACCTCTACCTTGATAGTATGCTGTTCTCGGGAGCCAAAAAATCTTACCGTGTTATGGGTGAAACCGCGTTATATCAAACTTGCTTTGATCCACCGGAGTGCACAGCCCCGCCCCCCCAGAGCGCTGCTTTACCGCATTATATCCGAATTCGTGTTATATCGGGTCACGTTATATCGGGATAGAGGTGTATAGGAAAACCTTGTATAAGTTTACCCAAGGACCAAAACCTGTTTTTTTCTGAAGAACTTATGCCTAATTTGTAAAATTTATAAACAATGCAGACAGAATTACGAGATTCCGCTTCTCAACAATTAATGAAGCTAAGATTTAAAGATGCACACATCTCCTAACACGGTAAGTATTTAACATACACGAGTGCATGCCCCCTATGAAAGGTGCCAATGACAAGGGCTCTCTTCCTTTCATCCTTCTCAGATCTGCTACTAGTTAAATTTTTTTCCCAGTGAGCTGACCTTTTCACCACTCTTCTGCCCTCGAATCATAAGACTGGTAGGGACCTCAAAAGGTCTTCTAGTCCAGTCCGCTACATTCAAGGCAGGACTAAGCATTATCTACACTATTCCTGACAGGTTTCGTCTAACCCGCTCTTAAAAATACCCAACAACGGTAATTCCGAAACCTCCCTTGGCAATTTATTCTGGTGTTTAACTAACCTGACAGTTAGGATTTTTTCCCTAATGTCCAACCTAAACCTCCCTTGCTGCAATTTAAAACCATTGCTTCTTGTTCTATTCTCAGAGGTTAACAAGAACAATTTTTTCTCCTTCCTCCTTGTAACAACATCTTACGTACTTGAAAACTGTTATCTTGTCCCCCCTCAGCCTTCTCTTCTCCAGACTAAACAAACCCCAATTTTTTCAATCTTTCCTCATAGGTCATGTTTTCTAGACCTTTAGTCATTTTTGTTGCTCTCCTCTGGATTTTTTCCAATTTGTCCACATCTTTTCTGAAATGTGACACCCAAAAAGGACACACTATTCCAGTTGAGGCCTTATCAGCACAGACTAAAGCGGAAGAATTACTCCTTGTGTCTTGCTTACAACGCTCCTGCTAATACATCCCAGAATGATTTTTGCTTAAAAAAAAAAAAAAAAAACCACCCACAGTGTTACACTGTTGACTTATATCTAGCTTGTGATCCACTATGACCCCCAGCCTACTCCCTTCCTAGGCAGTCATTTCCCATTTTGTATGTGTGCAACTGATTTTACCATCCCAAGTTAAGCACTTTGCATTTGTCCTTATTGAATTTCATCCTATTTACCCCCATTTCTCCAGTTTATCCAGATCATTTTTAATTTCAATCCTATCCTCAAAGCACTTGCAACCTATTTCAATCCTTTCATTAATTCTTGTTTCATCCTAAAAACAAACAAACAACCCCCCCGCCCCAAAATTCCTTGTCCTCACCTTAAAGGCACTTTATATATATATAAATTTAT